GAGTCTGCCATGTTGCACCATCATGTCTGTACAGTAGTCCAGAACGAACAAAAGAAAGAGTCTGTGTTTGGAGGGGGGAAAAATATGTGAGCTTGGGGAAGGGGGGAAGCTTTGTAAGTGTGAGTTCTACATGAGTGACTTGACTGAATGGCTGGGCAGGTGAGAAGGTGGCTTTTGTCTGCATGATTTGTGTGTGTGCTTGTTCGTATCTGGGGGTAACAGAGTGATGTAGTGATGCTGCCTTTTCTTTGTCTGCCGTCTCTGTTTGGAAGCATTACATGCACACTGGACAGGAACCCTGTCACCCCTTCCAATCCCCCCCCACCCCCACCCCCGTCCCTGTCTCCCTCTTCTGTCTGCCTTTCTCTGCCTCATGTTTAATCCCACCTCCTCTCTCTTTTCTTTGACTCTCCATATTTATCTGTCACTGTTTCCTCTATACTAGTGTTCTTTTTGTTTCCCCTGTCTCTTCTATCTTTTCACTTTCAGTTTTATTCATATTGTCATCTGGAGGTTAATGAGGATAACTTGGTTGCACCTCTCCACAAGCTTTTTAGTGTCCGTCATCTGGATTGTAAGAATGTTGGGCTCATCTCGACATTTTGGGTGGGGGAGGAAGCTCTTGATATTTTTAGACTGGCCTCCTTTAAGTCTTTCTTCTTGATTTGTTGCAAGAAAGAGGTGAATCTCAAATAACAAGTTTTTCTGCACATTTATGTACGAATCAAAGTTTTACTTAATAGTTACTGTAACCATTATAATTTAGCAGTCGCGACGCATCGCTAAAGATTTTAAAGAAATTAGACTGAGAATTGTTTTTAAAAGGTATTTTTCAGAAAACACATGACAAACCCAGCCTCCATCTCTATCCCACTTTGCAACTTGCTTTTTTAAAAAACCTTCATAAAAGGGGCGTGTCAGTTGTTTTTATTGCTTACTTGTTTCCTTCATTTGCCTCTAGAGTCTGCTTATCTGTGGCAATGTCAGTTATTGATGACGGCTGCATAGCAGTATGAAATCCGAATCTCATGTTTCTACATTTGAGTCGAAGTGATTTGTGCTCATCCCCTCCACTGATTGAAGATTCTCATAAACAGTGTAATATTTGTAATCAATCAAGCTAGATCCTAATGAAGTTGTTTTTACTATAAGAAGCCTTCAATTATTATTGCAGTTACATTGAAACTGGTCATCTGGTGGTATTGCTGGTCTTCGAGGTATCATTAACGCCTGAATTGTCCAGGGAAATATTGGTTATCTGTAGAAACGCCAGTATTGAGCATCCCTGCAATATAATGGAACAGGTGATAAACCAATATAATATACCATATTCCTTCAGTCTCGTCCCTTATATGCACCATAAAGCTGCTACAAGTACAGTTTGAAACTTGCTGACTTTGGTGACCTCTCCTCGTCCATGAGTGTGTTTCATGTCACTGTTTTAAAGACTAATCTCGACTGCAGAGAGGACAAATATGGATCAGAAAATGGAGTAAGAAACTGTCAGACAAAAAAGTTTAAAACATGTACAAGGAGGGGAGTTATTTTCCCCACAGTACGAGATGTGTTCAGCAGGAGCCAAGTTCAGATCAGACAGTCAAAACAATGTTCTCTTAAACTTCATGCTGTACATAAATATTTAGTTATATAATAATATATGAAACACAGCATAACCTCTTTTATTCAATTTGTTGCAGCCTCAACAAACTAAAATTTCAACATTGTGAAATTAAAATTTTGGCATGACCTGTGCTGTGTTTCTATCCTGATAATTTATAAAAATAGTATAAGTATGGTCTGAGTGTTTTCATCAAATTCACAGGCTGGCTGTTCAGAGCAACACACACACACACACACACACACACACACACACACACACACCACACCACACACACCACACACACACACACACACACACACACACACACACACACACACACACACGGTCTGACTCGCAATGTTCAGTTTGCTATTAAGAGGAGTGCCTGGCCAAGAGGGCTCTTGACTCTGACAGGCTCTCCATCTCCTGCACACACACACACACACACACACACACACACACACACACACACACACACACACACACACACCCTCTCTTTCTCCTGACCATCAGATAGAATGAGGTGGATAAGAGTATAATTATGGGATGTTTATGACTGCGTTCCATCAGTTAGCAACGGTTTAACAATTATTCACTTCCTGCATGTACAGAAATATTTTTTACGTATTTAGAGCTCAGATATGAATTTCCGTCTGATGACGAACCTTGAAAACCCTGCATGCTGTGTATAAATCAGGTAAATAAACAAATTCATTGCTTACATACACTGGCCAGTCACTGTTTAAAATCACTTAAAGTCATTTAAAAAATGGTAAGAACACACCACTGCACTAAGTTATCTGAGTAATGTTTAAGGTGGATGTTGGTGAGGGACAGGGTTTGAAATGGATGAGGAGTCTGAGGTTATTTGCTGTGCCATCACTGAAATTAAAATATGGCATACATGTCCCACAAGCAGTAGAAGGATTAGAGGTGGTGGACACAATATTATAAACTTCTAAAGTCTAATGCAATCCATCCATCCATGCAAGCAATCCAATACAATGAGACTGTCCTCCCAGGAGCAACAACAGCATCAGACGTTTCAGCAAGTGCACCAAAAAGGCATATGTTTAAATCACGGGCCTAGTAATTATGATGGGAGCAAAGGAGGAAGTCAGGTGATGTTGTTACAGTATAGAGCAAAAAAGTCAGGAGGTCAGTGTGGAGGGATTAGTCAGCAAAATCATCAGAGTTTAACACAGGAGACCTGAATGGAAATGGGAAACAAACTGGGATGACCATGATTGTTCTCTAACCTTAACCAAGTGTTTCTTATTGTAACCATGACAACGAAAGGGGCCTAACCATAATAAAGTACTTATTTTAACCCAAACCACAATCTTTCCCTGAACATAACCAAGTTCTTTTTACACAGCGTTGTCACTTCATAACACTGATTTATTTTTGAACAGTGATTTGTAACCGTTTGCAAAGGCACCGACAAATTATGTCGTCCTGACAGGGTCGTCAGATCTGAAATCTGTTGGGTGTGGCCAACCAATGTATTTTATCGTTTCATTTGGAGGACTTATAATTCATTTCTGGCATCTAGGACATTTTAGCTGCCTTACTGTGTTCTTATTCACGCATATTTGTCAGATCAGTGATACCTCATAAAGAGTTTGTGCTTTCACTCTTTAACCATCTTACACCTCTGATCACTTTAGAATAGCAGCCTCAACTTTCAAAGCAATAGGAAATAACTGATTCACAAACAATTTGCATATTTTCCCTTTGTCATTTTGTAGTCATAGCCTTGTAGTGTACATCCACCTCCAGAAATGCAGTAGAACACAAACCCTGTGCTGTTTCTGTTTCCTCATCAAGATACAGTGAGTTTGATCACAGGACGGTTGCAATCATACAGGTTTTGTAAAGTATGATCCTGCATAAACAGACAAAAGTCATTTCAGTTTGTTTTAGTACTGCATCGGTGCCAGTGGGAGCATAAAACCATTTCTTAGTGAAGCATACGGGGGAAACAAATCCAGGGAGCGCTTGTGTTTCTGCTGTTGCTCAAAAGAGAAGTGATGAAAGCCGCTGTCTGGTGTGTATGTTGGCTGGCCTGGGAAGGGAGGCGACGCGTCACTGACAGCTTCTTCTCTTTGTAAGAAGAAGATGTTATTCCCTCTTGAAGCATTTGTTGAGTCAGACACAGTATGGGTCTGTTGTGTGTTTGTGTCTGTGAATGTCTCTCTAAGTGATTGTTAAGTGTTCTCCAAGTTGTAATTGAAAAATAGGGGAAGTACACACAATGTATCTTTTGGTAACTTGCTGACTGCACAGCACAAATCTGCGTCTTGCAAATAAACTATGCTGTCGTATTATCATAACCACATGCATTTCTGCATAGAATTTTGAAATCTTGCAGCTTAAGGAGGAAAAATATGACGCTCTGAATTAGGCTTGGCTGGCGTGAAGGTAATACCAGGGTATTTAGTAATGCAGAAGGTATGACTGTTAATACCGTCACAACTACTGATGCTGCAATTTCTGCTAAACTGATACTGATACGTTGAGGTGATGTATTGATGGTGTGCGAACTGAAGTGAAACTGCCTGACATCATCTTCACGGGGCCAACGCAGTAACCCCTTTCACTTTTCAAGCAGTTGGGAAACAACACACACACTCACAAACCCACACACGGGAGCTTGACTTTGGTCTTGAGAAGCTGCTGTCTTTATTTACTGACACTGACTGTAACCTACACAGTAATTTACTACTCCTTCACTAATACTGCTCACCTTTTCCTCTGCTCCACTGCATTCACTGTCAATCTCTGCTGTTCGCTCTCTCTCGCTCAGCCACACACTCACTATGCACACTAAAAGGAGGTACTTGAAGGCAACAGCGAGTAGTGGGGGTAACGTTACAGGACTAGTAAAAAAGAAACATGCCTGTGCACCTGTTTGGGAGCATTTTTGGACGATCTCCGTTCAGATCAGTGATGTGTCAGTATGCAACCTCATTATTCAATATTCATTATTCTATGGGCCATAAGTATTTAATCCCAGCATGACTTGTTTAAGTAGCCTAATAGTATTTTTTTGTAGGATAGACAATATCACACACGCTACAGTGACTTCTATCACCAGCAGCTCAGCTTTAATGTTTTCTTAACACAAATACCATAATATACCTTGTACTCCAGTGAAACGTCAGGAAGGTATGATATAAAATAGATAAATATAAAACAGATACTGCTCAAGCCTAGCCTGAATCCACAGGAAAGCATCATCATGACACTGAGTAAATTAGTTGTGTCGTACCAAACCAAACCTTAATTTCCTTACTTGTGTGGGAAGTGTGTGTGTGTGTGTGTGTTTGTCTGTCAGTTATCCTTTTTTCCCCCTTTTCATTCTGTAAACTATCTGTCCTCTTTTGCCTTTTCCCAGGTGAGCCTGATGCACAACGGCTGGCCGGTGATTTCGGCTTTTGCCGGCGACCAGGATGTGACGCGCGAGGCGGCCAGTAATGGTGTTCTGATACAGATGGAGAAGGGAGACCGGGCCTACCTCAAACTGGAGAGAGGAAACCTAATGGGAGGATGGAAATACTCCACCTTCTCCGGCTTCCTGGTGTTCCCCATGTAGAGGAAGAGCGGGAGGAAGAGGAGGAGAAGGAGGAGGAGGAGCAGGAGGTGGAAACAAAGGAGGAGAAGCTGCTGGAAGATGGAAAGTATGATGATGACGGGGAAAAGGCAGATGGAGGAAGAGGGGCATGGGAAAGAGAAAAAAGGACGTGGATAAGATGGTCGGAGAGGAGGAAAGAAGAAGAGGGAACGTGACAACAGACTCTGTTTGGGATGCTGCAGAGGGAGGAGGGAGAGGAAGGATGAGAGATGTTAGAAAGATGTAAGAGCATGACACAGAATGATTATATGAGGGTACAACAAGAGAAGAATTGTGAAGCCAGTACATGAAAATGTATGGCCAGCTTCTTCACTTCCCCTTCTCTTTTCATCCATCCTCTCATCCATCCGTTCCTCCCTCTGTTTTCTCTGTGGCTTGACTGCAGCTTTGGACAGCCAAAACTTTTTTTATTCTCTGCTGAAAGACGCAATTGATCATTTATATGTTCCAGAGTGTTCTAAAGTCCGAGTGTACCCCCCCCCCCCCCCATTAAATCATTAATTCATTAATTCATTAATTCATTTATCTCTTTCAAAATAAGCTTTGAAGAATGTTTCTTGAACAGTTGCTCCCCACTCCTATTTACAATGGCCATATTTGTATCTTTTTTTCATGATTGACATAAATTGCACTGATTTTGGATCAGCGTCTGCCCCAAAGTCAAACTAGAATTTTTATAGGGGAAACACTAAACTGATCACAAAATCAGGTGCTCAAGACACATTTTCATCCCCTGTAAAGCCGTGGTTTATAGTTATCATAGTAATTACTGGCTTAAAAAAAAACTTGGTTCTATTTCTCCCTTTCTCTCCTATCAATTTCTCTAAATCATTGCGTACAGCTCTGCTGTCTCCCCCTGCATGCCTGCCGCAGTCAGTACTGTCCTATTCTTTGTATTTTTTGTCAGATGACTTGATTTCTCACAACAACTAGCTAACGCTAAAGACATATTCACCAGCTGTGAGCATCAAACATGACTGCTAATCTAAGACAGTCAATCTTGGTGTCCAGCTGTGATTGACAGTGACCAAGCTGGACACTCACAAATGGAAAGCTTACCCAACAGCTGACACAAAAATAAACAAAATGAATAAAAATAAATAAAATCAAATGACATGTGAAATAAAAACAAAATGTTGTCTAAAATGTCTCCTTATAATTAGGTTTTCTAATAATAGTTTGTAACTTATGTTGTCCACACTGGTCAAGGTTAGGAAAAGATCATGGTCTTGGTTAAATCTGCAATAACAGATTTTTTTTGGCCAAGTGGTGGCCATTGAAACAAGTTGTACAACAACTTTGACATATTTACACCTTTAAAGTTACATGTTTTTTACCATCCAGAAGGTCACCTGATGAATGTCCAATATTCATTCCTTTTAGCTCTGTATTCAGATCACATTGTCACATTGTTTTTGGGTTGTTTTCACATTGTCATTTTCATTTTGTTGTTATAAAAATATTGATTATAGGTGCTTTAAATATTAGAAAGTCAAAAGCAACTTGAAGGATGAGACACAAGGTGCTTATTTGATGAACATTTAACTTAGATAATGAACTTTCCCTCACCTTAACCAGACCAAACCAAAACCTTTATGGTCCGTAGTCTCTGGGTGTGGTGTTAAAGTGCTGTGCTTTGTAGGCACACAATCCACCCCTGGCTCCACGACTTGTTTGCAGTACATAAATACAGCGTTTCCACATACCCGGCCAATAATTATATGCTTGGAGAAGATGTGATTGGGAAAACAATCAGTATTAGTTGCTATCTGGCTTGATTTAAAATGAACTAGCTAGCTTTCAAAAAGTAAAATGAAAAAGGCAATTTTATATACTGAAAATGTGAAGTATGAAGGAATTTCAGATGCACAGTTAAATCAAAATGTAATAAAAAAACATATCCCATCTCCAGTCAACTCAATTCTTAACTTCACTTCTTGTGACTATATCTAATGAACCTGACATCCACACTGATACCAGTCACACATCACACAGAAAGTAATACTATACTTTACTCTTGTTTTCACCCACACAAACATTCGAATCGACATCGATCCTTTCCTTCCATCCTTTGCTCGCACCTTCATCTCCCCTCCCTCCATTACTGCTGCTGTTTTTCAGATTTGTACCCCTCCTCTTCTATCTTCAGCTATGCTGTTTATCCCACAAGCAAAGATTTCACTCTCTTCCTTTTTTGTATATTTCTGTTATCCCCTCACTCACCTCTCTCTCTTCCTTCCCTCAGCGGTCCATCTCCCTCTCCTTCCTCATGTCTGTACTTTATCTGCTGCTGTACTCGTTTGCCTCCCAGCACGGATCTTTCCTTGCTTTTCTTCAATGTTGGACTTTGGACACTGAAACCAACTTACAACCACGAACTCTATAATATATAAATTTACACAGTATATATACAAATGGATATATAATATATCGAAATCTAAGCCACCATTTCTATTCTACTGGTATTATGATGATAATAATGATAATACTAATACTGAAAACTGAATCTGGTTGATGACTATAATATCTGTATTTCCGTACTTCAGTGTTATATAAAAGAAAAAAATATTCTAAAGAAATTTACTCGTGATTGTGTGTGGAAATCTGAGGCTGCCGTTCTGCTCTTCTGATTAAAAACATGCTTCTTGTTTCTGTTTTGGGTCAAACCAAGTTGTGGCTAAAAAGCTGAGGCTACCACTTATATAAAAAACCTACAGCAAAAAGTACTTTTATTTATTTATTTTTATTTATTATTTATTTATTATTATTATTATTATTATTATTATTATTATCAATGAAATCAATTTATCTACTGTTTTCTTATTTATTTGCTCTGATGAAATCAATAAAATTTAAATGGTACTTTTATTTTTCTTAAACCTACTTTAAGCCTGGCAGTTTATTGTGTTGAAGCTGGCAAAACTTCTGAAAGCAACCAGAAACGCACACAGCCCCAGGTGTGTTGATGTGTGCAATGGTGGGCGGTGTTCAATATATGTGTCTGTGTGTGTCTGTCTTTTTTGTTATTGTCTCCTCCTTTCTCCATATCTGTTACTCAATAATGTCTTCGCTGTATCTCTTATTTTTTTATTCTCTTTTGTCTTCCTCTCTTTCTCTCTAAATGGATTAGGGTTCCATTTCCTTTGCTTCCTGTGTCTCTCTTTCCCTTGGTCTCTCCCTCTCATTTCTCCTGTACACATTTGTTTAATTTTTTTTTTATTTAGATGCTCTCTCTCTCCTCCTCTTTCTCCCTCTCTCCACTCTGTTGGTTTTTAAGGTTTTGTGGTTCGTTTCTCTCAAGACTCTAATGAGCTCCAGGGGGAAAATTAGAGCTGGAATAACAAGCAAACATCATCTCCCCTCTTCCTCCACATCCCTCCTTTCTTCTCCTCTTCTTCTTTTCCCCTTCATCTGGTTTCATTTCTTTTCTTTATATCTTGTTTTCCCACAGCTTGATTCTACTTCCTGTCCTTCCTCTTTTCTTCTCTCCAACTTCCTTTTGTTGCCTATCTCTTGCTGACATGCTGTCCTCTTCACCTCTACTCAGACCTGTCTCAATGGCACTTCCTTTCTTCCACAGTCCCCCTTTTCTCTTAGCTTTTCTATTTATTTCGTCTCACTTTTTTAAACTTCCATTTCCTTCTTAACTGCCAAATACTGTTTTGGCACAAATCTAAGTTTTCATGTTAATTACTTTGGAAAAACTGGAGTCGTCTTACTTTCCAGGAGCAGCTTTCAACACTTTCTCTCTTTGTCTGTCTCTCTGACGTCCCTCTGTTTTTGGTCAAAAAGAAGCAAGTCCTCCAAACTAAACAACAAAATAGTCATTACTTCTAAAATGACTAATTAATTTCCTTTTTTTATGATAGGGAAAGAGTTCTAACTTCCCAAGAGTTAGATGAGAAGATCAACACCTCTCTCAAGTCTGTACTGTAAATATGAAACCACAGCCAGCAGCCAGTTATCTGGGCTTCGCAGAAAGACTGGAAAATGGAGGAAACAGCTAGCCTACAAGTACCTCTAAAGTGTACTAATTAGTGACTTGTTTCTTATTTGTTTAATCCTAGAAAGTCTTTATGCTAACCTAAGGTAACAGGCTGCAGGCTGCATTTAATTTTCAGCAAGAACGCGAATAAGCACGTTTCTCAAAATGTCAAACTTTTCTCCTAAGTGGCAACAAACCACCAACGTAGTTATTTCTGTGGTGAGGACAGGCTGGAACAAGCAAATAGTTGATATTTTTGATAGATAAATTGCTTAAGAGATTAATCAAGTAAACAAATTATTGATGATAATGTATATTGATGTACTAATTGATTAATTTTTTTAACTCTAATCGGACAATAGTAGTGAAATAGAATGAAAAAAATAGACAACACTTTTGTGAAACTCAACTGTCCAAAACAACTGAAGGATGGTTAGGACATAAATCCATTAGCTAACGGTGAGTTTAAAAGTAGTAAAGTGAAATTATTCTAGATTTAGGTGCTTGGACACTCAATTAATGCTGTCAAAAAGTTTAAGTGTTGTAATTAGTATTATTTAGCTATAGTTTTGCAGCTTGTTGGGAGTAAAATTATTCCATTGGGAATTTACCCACTCTGGACTAACAAAGATTTTTATATTAGACCTATCTTGTAAAAAATGTATGTCCTCTTTCATTGATGATTGATTGTCATTTAAGTACATTTGGTTACTCATGTGGTGATTGTAATGCCTTTCATGGCAGGCCTGTTTACATTGCTTAAGCAGAGACCAGACTTCAGGATGTCAGCCCAGTAATGGCTGAGCCGAGAGATGAGGGGCATCAGGAATGAAAATGAGCTTTGGGCATAACCATTGCTTGTATAATGCAACATACTGTGACATAATGGAAGAATCCCCATTGCCTTCTCCACTGGTTTGACTAGTTTCTTCCGTGACGCCGGCCCACAGGTGCGCAGAGCCCTCTTTTGTGTGCAACTATAAACATGGCAAAGCAAGAGAGCATTCATTTTTTAAATTTCTTTTCAGTTTTCCCGATCATCTATTGTGAAAATCAGCAAGCTATGATTGGTGAGGGTACAATGTGTAGTTTGCAGGTCTACAAAAAACGTATGACTCAATGATCGCCTAATCTGACACAGTGACCATTTCAAAATACAAAAATTACACGAAGTCTTGTCCTGGCATTATAATATAGAAATATGTTTCTAAATCTTTATGGATGATATTTCTCATATTTGATTTTGATCTACAACTTTCAAATGTGCTAAAAACACATAAATACAATATTTTAAAATAGTTTCATCCAGAAACAACTGCTGCATAAAAAAGTGGGTGGTGGCATTGGCAGAGTGGGGCAAAATAATGACCCTGGAATTTTTCCCTGGTCAGCCCACTCTCCGGACAGAGCCCTTTATTCCTGCTTTCTTGAGAATTTTATGCAAGTACAGTGCGTCACGAAATGAGCCATTGAAATAATATCCAGCTCCCCTCAAGTAAAGATTTCACCTCAGCTGAGCCCGTGAGTACACAAATAAATAAGCCATATCAATATCAATCTAAACATATGACTGGTGCTTTGGGCTGTGCTGGCTTTGACTCTGTTTTACTATTGCTCTCATCTCTGCTGTCATGTTCACCAATGTCAGCCCTACTACTGGGGCCGCTGATGGGTAGAGTTCTGAAAATCTTTACCCAAGTAAATGTTCAATTACCCCCATCAAAAAAATCCATGCAGTAAAAGTAAAAGTTACCATTTGACAAACCTACTCAAGTAAAAGTATA